TGAGTAGTAACGAAGAGGGAAGTAGGTGTCACCAAAATCAGATGAAGCATGTAAAGAGAATGAATGTGGTCTTGGGCTACGAAATGATATTTTTATTTCGTCAATTATGAAAGTTTTGTTCAAATTAAAAGAGATATTGGCATTCATGTTACCAGAACCATCACTGAGAGAAGAGTAAGGAGGAGAAAGCCAGAAAGTAAGTGGATCAGAATCTGTGATGTGTTCTGGCGGATGAAGAGAGGCGTCACCATCTCCACAGGCACTGCAATGAAAACCTACTCTCTGACATGTCCTCTCTACTGCTCTCTCCCCGCATGTAGCAGAGGCTACTGGTCTAATCCCCTTCAAAATGTCACTTATCTTTGGCGGGCTACAGGGAATTGGTTGTCTCCTGGAGTTGTAGCAAGATGAAGATGAGCAGAGAGGAATGCTACCTGCAGCTATGATGATAAAGAAGGCAGAAAACATCTTGGCTGGCATGCAGACTGGGGGGGGGGCAATTTCTCATGCATATGCATAGTAGATTAGTAGTACCCCCGCCGGGATCATACTACTTGGATCATTGCGTGTTCCGTAAACTCCTCCCCTCCATACTATGTGCATGTATTATGCAGTTTACGGAGCACGCAAATGTGATCCAAGTGGAGTGAAAAGCGCAGTACCCGCAAGGGGGTTAGGGCGCAGTCGGCCAGCGCAGCCCCGGCCAGCGCGCGCGCAGCCGCATCAACCGGATTGATTGTCTGCTACCTGCTAGTAAAAGCATAGATAAAAGCCTACTCGAGACCCACTTCGCCAATACCGTTTGAATCATTGGTCTAGTTTCCGGCAGTTATAGTGGCTTAATTAGTACAGGAAAATGCTAGCTTCTTCTATTTCTAGTTCCGCTAGTAGTTCATATTCAGCTCATTCAGAATCAAGGTAACAAAATTCTCGTCAATCAATTTGTTGCGGCGCGGGTATGCAGCCTAGATGATGCTAACTGATCTATAGTTGGGCCATAGGTACTATGGTCTGGTAGAGGTGCCGCCGTCTCGGCGATGATCAGTTGGGGCATAGATACTGGAAACGGACCGTTTCCAGTATCTATGGACTCATATGGTTGGGGGCTGATTTGTGTTTTTTTTTAATTAAATTAATAGTCGCTTTACAAGAGATTTCGAGGAAATAAAGCTTCTTGGTAAAGGTGCGTTTGGAGAGGTTTATCATGTCAAGCATAACTTAGATAAAAAAGAGTATGCTATGAAAATAATACCCGCCAATAAAATGTAAGAAATATCTGATTCCGTGGCAGTAATATCGAGTATTATGTACTGATATAGAAATCAGAAAGATTTGAGGGAAGTACTTGCACTTTCTGACTTCAAACATTCTGGAATTGTTCAGTACTACTGCTCTTTTATTGATGATTGTGCCAAAGTTGCTGCGGGTTGGACATCTTATCATTCTAGATCTGATACCACTTTTTCGTAAGGTTGAAAAATGTTCTGTAATATTTATATTTTAGCTTAGATCGTCTCGAAGTAGCTCAGAGTCAGCAATGGAGACATCTTTGACTTGTGGTGCTACATTTATTCCTGGTATGCACCTAATTATTACATGCAGTCATGCACTATACAAGGTGGAACTTCTGAATAATTATTATAGCACTGAACTTTTAAGGCACACAAAAAAATTTTTGTTATGAAGAAACTCTCACTAGAGAGAAGTTTTTATATATAATAGGGAA